TGGGCAGCCCCTTCCAATGCCTAAGCACCTTTTCCATGGAGAAATTCCTCCTGATGTCCAGCCTGACCCTCCCCTGGCACAACTTGGGACCGTTCCCTCTCCTCCTGTCCCTTGTTCCCTGGGAGCAGAGCCCGATCCCACCCGGCTCCCCCCTCCTGTCAGGGAGTTGCAGAGAGCAAACCCACTGTTTCCTTGGATTTTTCTCCAGAGTGATTGATTTTTTCTCTCTCCAGAAAAGCCTCCGAGAGCCTCCCGCACTTCAGGAGCGTTTCCTGGTGCCACCACGAGCGAGGGGATCAAGTGATCCCCTATTTGGGGACAAAACTGTTCTGAGGGACCCTGAGCCAAAGGGAGCCCAGACTGAAATGCCAGGAATGGGGTGCAGAGAGGCCCCTCCCCACACCCCCACCCCGGGAACCGGGACACGGGGGGACCCTTCCCAAGCCCCCCAAAGCACAGGGAGACCCTTCCCCACCCCCCCGGGGCACAGGGGGTGCCTTCCCCATCCCCATCCCTCCCCTCCCAGGGCCCTCACCCCCCTCCAGGAGCCCCCCCTCGGGCTTCCCTCCTCAGCGGGGACACCTCACAGAGCCCCAGAACGGCGGCCGAACCCCCTGAGCCCCCCGTGCCCACCCCGCGCCCTGCCCTGCCCCGGGGGCATCCACCTGCCGCCATCTTGGGGGCAGCACCCCCCGCCCTTCCACGCACCCGCTCTCCCTCCCTTGTCACCCGCAAAGCCGCCTCCCACCCCATTCCCACCCTTCCCACCCCCGCTCCCCCCTTGTCCCCCTTTGTCCCCTCCCCCGCTGCCCCCCCTCGGCGTCCCCTCAATTTACGCGGCGCGGCCCCTTTAAGACTCCCCGCGCGGGGCGTGGCCTCGAGGGGCGTGGCCGCGCGCTCGGGGGGCGGGCGGGCGTGGCCGGAGAGCGCCGCTCGCTCGCGGATTGGGCCGTTCCCCTCCGGCGCGGCCCCGCCCCCCTCGGGGCGGGTCACGTGACCCGGCGGCGGCGGCGGCGCCCGGCGCGGTGGACGCTGGAGGCCCAAGATGGCGGCGGAGCTGGTGGAGGCGAAGGTGAGGGGGAAGCGGCGGCGCCGCCGCCCCGCCCGCGGGATCCCCCGCGCGCCACTGGCAGGACCCCGGCGGGGACGAGGCCGCGGCGGAGCAGCGCCGCGAACCGCCGAGCGAGGCGCCCCCCCGGCACCGCCCCCGCCGCTTTCTCCCCCCCCCCCTCCCCCTCAGGG